GAGCCTACACTGTGCTAGCCGTCCAGTTTTTTAACCTGAGCGCTTGGATGACCAACCGGCACTGTAGTAGCTATATTTCTGTTACTTAGGAGCTCGTCTTTCACCCAGTTTGTGTGTGCCTAGACAGCAGTGACACAAAGGCACTTGTTGTCCTCACGCGAATTCAAAGCTTTTAAACGAGCTAGCTAGTCGAACCGCACTCATCCGGCCACTGGTTGGGATCCAGGGAACTGACATAGTAGATGCAAGCTGGTTTAAATAGGGATACTACCATCCAGAACAGTGCAACAAGTTATCACAGTTAACGCTTCTATTAGACACGAGTCGGAGAGCTGAATTCATACCAATGGATGCCACCCAACTCCCATCTTAGAGGACCAGAAGACCCAATTTGTCTAGCCACTGATTGTTAGTGCCCAAGGGCATCACCTGTTATATCTCAATGGATCGGAGAATTACGTAAACCATTGTACCATGTTAGCATCCAATTTTGTTGTAACAGTTCCATGAAACTACTGGTCTTTACAAGGTTTAGTTTGGAGCATTTGGTTGGTTCTTCCGAGCCGTGATTCACGCTTCTGTCATGAGTTAAATCGATGTGTTGCAGAAGCGCCGTTAATTTTTTGACACCTGAAATCGTTTGGTTTGTCATTTTCAAGTGACCTACTGACCTACCAAACCCTTGTTTACGTTCCATTTCTTTCTCGCCTCTCAGATACTACGTGACCTTAATTCCGCCCAAATGCAACTGAAGAGTAAAGAGACTTTGTTTCACTTGGATGAGTTGTATGCACGGAAGCGTTTACTTAGAAGACTAGGGTTCTGTTCGGAGGACGATACGATCGCATTTAAAGGGCGTATCGCATGCGAGATATGCACTGGAGACGAACTTATGTTGACTGAATTGATGCTGGACGGATTGTTCTCCTCCTTCACTCCAGTGCAACTTGCGGGCGTAATGTCATGCTTTGTCGCGGAACGAACTTCAACCAAACGCCAACTCGTCCAACTGCGCCCCGATATGGAGCAGGCGTTAAAGGCGATCCAGGTAAAAATTTTTGCTCTAGTCATGTCATCTTCTACACTTTATTGCGTTGCCGCTTACACTTACACGGTACGATTTGTAATGTATGTAAAGTTCACCCGTAAGCCTCGGTGACGTTTCTGGACCTGCAAGGTTATAGCTTGTGTCCACCTTATAACGCTAGGGTTTATGAATAAGAACTGACGCACATTCGGATAGCACATCCGCTAGCTGTGGTACGTCGGCTCCCAGCTAGTCGTTGGTTGTTTGCTCCAGATTACGGTCTGAATTCGATGAGCACACAGTTGATTATTCACTTGACCTACGTAAGTCGTGGTAATCGCAATAAACCATTTCATTCGGTAGTCTGAGGAATACGTACGTCCGTGTGACCTATTCGGAATCTGTGAGACATGCGTGAAAGCAGATGACATAACGCGTGTTTCCAGTAGCAACCTATCGACAGTGTCCCGAATCACTGTAGTCGACTATTTCAGTTGCCATCAGGACCCAAAATCTTAATCTTCCGTCCCACCCTGTTTTTTCATAAACTGGGTTCGGGGTCCATTATATGATCAGTCCGTGCAAGCGTCTTCCGGAACATATAATCCACTGACCGCGCAATATAAGCGATAGCTGAATCTTGGTTATTTACGATAAATAAGTCTGTTTGGTCTGAATATGCGTTGCTCCCGAAGTTACCTACATTTGATAAATTGGTCGGCCATCAGGGGGTTTACGTATTGTTGGTGCAAAAAATTCAGCCGAAAATGCTTCAGCCCCCCCCCTGCACTTAAGGTTGGTGAACCTATGCTCAGTTATTAAATAGCCTAGCTGCGACACTTGGATTCCGTTTCACTTGCCAATCGCACAGTCTCCCTGGTGCTTTATTGTGCTATCAACGAGTTATCATCAGAGGCGATCAGTATTGGTCCTAAATATCGGGAACAATCGTTTTATTGAGATCCGTTAAACCACACTGGAATTGGAGCATTTATAAGTGAAAATATGTTTTCGATAAGGATCGTCTGAATTATACAATTACAAGAAAGTTATAATTTGTAAACATATTGGAACTGTACTGACACGAGCGCTGTTGTATTTGTACTTAAATAAGTTACATCTTCTACCTCCTTTAAAGGTTAAAGCCCGATTCTTGGCACGCGCGGCCGCCGAAAGCCGCATAAGCTCCTCACGCCTTCGGGCGGCAGAACCAGATGGAACTGAGAAACCCAGTGTGCCTGAGGCTGGCGCACTTTTGAATCATCGCATTGGTGTGCTAGACGATGAACAAGCCTACGTGGATCGGTTCTCTGGAGAGCTCATGGAAGTGGTACGCGCTTGGGCACAGGGTGTCAGCTTTGCTCGTCTATGTGAACTCACCATGGTTTTCGAGGGTAGTGTGATTCGCTGCATGCGACGCCTGGATGAGTTGCTGCGGGAAATGCATCTGGCGGCCAAAGTAGCGGGTAATACAGAACTTGAGAAAAAATTTCTCGAAAGTAAGTCACCTCTCCTAGTTTATGTCGTCGATATTTACTCGTTTCTGACTACTCTCGCTTGAGTTATCATACACTGCTGCGAGGGAATGTATTGGCTTGATGAGGTTCTCAAGCGGCTTGCGTTCAGATCCACAGCAACATTTGAGTTAGATCCCGGCTCACTAAATTCTGTCTGCCAACGCTCGCAACATGTAGCTGTTGTGGGTTACCACTCCAACCCACTGCCCAAATCTTAGCGCGTACGAGCCCGAGAAACTCGTTGTCCACTCACGTACACATGCAAGTCTCTGTAGTGATCGCATCCAATAACACACACTCGTCCTACACAAGACTGAATTCAGCAATTATCTTCACGATGCACTGGGATCAAATCGTCTACTGGTCAGTCACCCACTGAGCATAAGTCCGAACTTCAGGCATTCGAGGAGACTCGCCGCCACCTGGCATTCCTTTTCGCCAGCTCAAGGGTGATCACAAATTGATCACATTGCAATCAGCTTCAGATGGCGTAGCAGTGCATGGGATTGCAGATCGATTTGCTCCAGCTACCTCGACACGGATCACACTCTTGCCTGTGTAAACATCTGCATGCGCTTTGGGGGTTACTCGAATCCAAAGCACTGTACGGTGGATATCAACAGACTAGCTAACCCCTCAATTCAACTGGTTTATCAATCCTCTTTATCAGGCTCTCGCTGGTGTTCCACCTCTAGATGTCAAAGATCATCGATTTATTGCACAAAACGTTGTTTTCTTCCGGCCAGTCATTCTGTGGAATCGCTAGGTGTCCTCTGCGAGGCTGGATCTCTGATTTCTCTTTAAAATTGTTTGACCACCGCCGAGCTATCCCAGCTGATTCCAGAGCGGTGATGTCCGCCGTAACCTCAACCAACAGCTCAAGCAGAGCTTGAGTAACGATTGCGAAATTTAGTGAGCTCAGCGCGCTTCAGAGATGAAGACAGCAACTCTCTGGAAAATTTCCAAAGCATTTTCTGTCAATTCAGACCACTAGCGTCAGTGAGGCCATTTGCTAGGTTGATAGAGCACAAATTTGTGTAGGTGCATAGATCGCTGGGGGGCACACTCCCACTATCATTCCAGTTTGCCTCCTTCTTCCCTCTGTCTGACAAGTATGCTTAGTTGCGCGCCTTGGAACGTCTCACTGGAGCCATTTACTGAAGTGGATGTCTGCCTTGGGCCTCTTAGATTGAAGCCACTCAAGACTTCTGACTCAGACCTACTTTATGCGGAGCTGTTCAAGCACCGTGGGGAAACAATTTTCAATCAGTTAATAGCTCTGTTCTCCAAGATTTTGTGTGAATATAAGGTTCTGTCCTTTTGGAGTGAGTCGTACTGATCTTCAAAAGAGTGCCCGTACCTTGTGCGCCAACCACAGAGGAATCAGCCTAATATCCTACCCTACAAGTTGCTAACATCTATTTTACTCGCAGACTAACACTGTTTCAAGAATTACACTCCCTCTAGGAACAGGCCAGTTCCCCCCCCCCCGGTCGAGGTTGTGTGGACATCTTCACGCTCCGCCAACTTCTTGTGCAGCGTCACCTTAACAACCAGCCCACCATTGTCACCTTTCTGAACATCTGAGCTGCGTTCGACTCGGCCGATCGGTCTGCTTTATTGCATTGGGAATACCCGAGAAGTATATCGCCATCCTTCAAACTTTATATGGCAATGTCTCTGGCAGAGTTGGGGCTCACAGTATGCTCTCTTCACCTTTTGCCGTCACTAGTGGTGTGCGACTTGGTTGCCTCATGTCCCTGTTTCTCTACAATTTTGCGATCAATATGATGTCCTATTAGGCGCTCTGGAAGGTCTCCAGGGTTTTGGCGTAGAGCTTCTTCCAGACAACTGCGCGACTGACTTGGAGTATGCAAGGTAATAACCTTGCTCAGTAACGACCCACCGATTATACAGAGCATTCTAAACCGCTTAAACCTATCAAATGTGTCACGATCTTTGCCCCTTCGCAATACAAAGCCCTACTGAACGATTGGCATCCACGTGCCCCAATGTTTATTCTTAAAGGCATGCAGCTTGAACAAGTGGATAGCTTCATCTACCTTGGAAGCTGTTTCTGCTGACAGAACCATTAGAAGAGTGATTTCTGTCCGTATTGCCAAAGCCCACTCAGCTTTCGTTAATCTGTGGCGTCGTCTTGACGTATCACTCTCGAGAAAAGGCAAGATCTACAATCTTTTGGTTCCCGCGGTCTTGTGCGGAAGCAACTCAGCTACTCCAATCACCTTGTGCGTTGTTCGCAGATGACTTGAAGGTATGGAGAGTAATCCGAACACCCAATGGTTGTGATTTGCTTCAACAGGATCTCGACCGCCTCTCCACGTGATCTGCAGAGGTCAACCTTCCGATCGACCCGGTCAAGTCGCAATTCATGAGGCTGGGTAAGTGTGAGCACTGTCGAACCTACACGGTGGCTGGTTAACTGTTGCATCCCGCGCCTTTCGTGCGCGACCTCGGTGTACTCTCACGATACGACCTAAAGTCCATGGACAACACGAATAGGATTTACCAAAACAGCCCTCGGATGCTTTGGGCGCTCAGGCGCAGCTTCAGCACTTGGTCCGAAAAGATTGCCACTCGCCTCTTCGTCTCAATAATACGACCAATACTAGAGTAAGGTTTGCCCGCGTATTGTCCCATCACCCGAGGCGAGGTAGAAAAGCTTGAGCGAGTGCAGCATGTAGCCACCAGGTTAATTCCCAACTTAAGGGGAGTGCCATACGAAGACCGATGTAAGGAACTAAGGCTGTACACCCTAGCATATCGTCGACTGAGGGTGGACCTCATCATGACGCACCAGATACTGCATCTGGGTGAATACATCATGTTGAGACCACTGCTTCATCTGCGCACACAAAGCAGCACGCGAGGACACCGGTATAAACTTATCGTACCGGATTTGAAGCGGGTCGCTTACCAACTCTGTTTCGAACGCAGTTTTGAATATATGGAAACGGACATTCAACTATTGGAAGACGGATTTCAACGGGCTCGTCCAAGCTGCAAGTCAGACTGATTGGACACTACCACAGGATGCGTCACTTGAGACTTGTTGGTCATTAATGAAGGGGAAGCTTCACTCGCTCTGTACTCGGTTCGTTCCCCTTAAGTATTCAAAAACCGGACCTGTCAAACCGCATTGGTTTGATACGGAATATAGACAGTTAGTGCGACGGCGTCGCAAACTTTGGGATAGATACATCATCTCGGGTTGTGATGAAGATTACACGGTGTACAAGAAACAGCGTAACTTATGTAACGCCGCAAAGATCAAGAAACGTCGGCAGTTCGAAGAGGAGCTAGCATCCTCGGCTACAAGTGCACCCAAAAGAATATTTGCCTACTTGAAACGTCAACTGAAACCTGGGGTGACCTGCCGGTCTTAGAGAGCTTAGACGGGAAGACACTCATTTCAAGCGCGGAGCGAGCGGACGCTTTGGCTACGCACTTCCTCACTGTATTTTCCAGTAAACCGACGACGGTTTCAGTACCGGCACAGGTGGCGCCAGTCTTGCTCAACAGCCTACAATGTGATGCAGTCGAAGTGTACCAGCTACTCGTCAACCTCGATGGTGCAAAGCCCCCCGGACCAGACGGACTTCACCCACTAATACTCAAGTCCCTATCGATTATCATCTCACCAGCCGTGACAAACCTTTTCAATAAATCGCTCTCTGAAGGATGTGTCCCGAACGACTGGAAATGCTCGATAGTGAGACCGCTTCCCAAGGGTGGTGATCCGAGTAAAATAGAGAACTATAGACCGATCTGTTTGACTTCGGTATTATCCAAAGTGCTCGAGAAGGTTGTGAAAAATTGTCTGCTATCGTTCTTCGAATCGATGGACGTATTGACGCCAGCGCAACACGGCTTCACGAAAGGGCGATCCTGCATCACCAACTTGATGTATGCAAACCACCAGTGGGTACGAGCTCTCAACGAACGGAAGGATGTTGACGTGGTGTACATCGACTTTAGTAAGGCGTTTGACAGAGTGAACCACGAGGTACTCCTTCGTGAACTGAAAACCTGCGGAATCGGTGGCACGATACTTCAGTGGTTACACGAGTTTATTGTGGGACTAAAGTTTAGAGTACAGGTCAGTGACTACCTGACAGACTGGTTCCCATCGACTAGTGGTGTGCCTCAAGGAACTGTACTTAAGCCAGTATTATTTCTTATTCATATCAACGATCTTCCGCAGCAGCTCCAGTCACCATGTGCCCTGTTTGCAGATGATTTGAAAATCTGGAGGATCATTGAGAACCAGGATGACTGCGCTTGTCTCCAGCATGACTTAGAGCGACTGTCAACGTGGTCCACTGAAATGCAACTCCCACTTAACGCAAGCAAGTCGGAGTTCATCAGTATCACCAGACGCTCAGCCACTCGATCATACACCTTGGAGGGCCAGTTGCTCCATCCCAACATATTTGTTAGAGACTTAGGAGTTCTCTCACGACATGATATGAGATCATTAGAAAATACAGAAAAATTGTACCGTGCGGCACTTCGTATGCTCTGGGCATTAAGGCGCAATTTCTCCACATGGTCTGAAGAAATCGTTCCTCGTCTATTCACATCGCTCATTAGACCAATCCTTGAATACGGTGTCCCAGCTTATCATCCGATAACCCAATGGGAAACTGAAAAGTTGGAGAAAATACAGCATATCGCAACTAGAATGATACCTAGTCTGCGAAAGCTTCCGTATGAAAAACGTTGTGAAAGGCTCGGACTGTACACACTATTCTATCGCCGAGTAAGAATTGACCTTATTATGACCCATCGAGTATTACACTTAAATCACTTCTCCATACTGCGGCCAATATTTCACCTGCGGGAACCCTGTAACACCCGAGGACATCGTTACAAACTCAGGGTCCCTAGCATGAACAAAGTATCACATCAGATTTGTATCGAACGAAGAATCGTAAACCTATGGAATACACTGCCCGAAG